CGGGTGGTCTGACCGGGATAGGCCGTGCCCATCACTCTGGTGAGGGGTTCCCGCTGCCTCTGGACTCAAAAGTTGTGTAGTAGAGTGAGTTTGCGGGCCTAACTCCAAATTCATGTTTGTTAGGCTAATTGCTGATGATTAGACTGACAGCATCGAGGATTTCTGCCTTGTTATTTGTTAGGGCTATCACTGGGGTTTTTTGTACTTAAATTTCAGTATTTTGTAGAGTCTTAATCCTAGGAACCTTCTAGTCATGCGTAAGTTTGTTTTACGCATCAATTTTGAACCGGTGTTAAAAATTAATACACTTTTCATTTTTAGCTTACAGTTCACCTCATAAATTGGAGAAACAGGTTAGGCTCTAGTAATCCATCTATTTAGCGTTTAAAAAAAAATAGCTGATTTTGCCCTGCTAACTTTTACAAGCTGCATCATTCTGTATTGTATTAATTTTACTGTTTGCACTATATATACATATTTTTAAAGTCTAGGATTTTATTTCCTGCTTTCCCCCAAGGTCTTCGTTTCGCATCAAGTACAGCCAGTCTCAAAACTGAGACCGAAGTGGACACAAGCGAAAATGAGGTTGTTGCTCCAGACTTCACTAACAGGAATCCTCGGAACTTGGAGCAGTTGGCCCTGGCTAGGAAGGAACGTGGCTGGAAGACAACGTGGCCAAAGCGTGAATTCTGGCATAGGTGAGTCAGAAAGTCACCAGCAGAAATGACAACTCCAAAAGAAAAAAATCCAAACCAAACAAAACCAAAACCCAGAACCCCACCAGGTGGAAATTCTACAAAATGGGCTTTTTGGGTTGCTGAACCAGTTGCCCCTCTAGTTGTTAATCAACAGGTATCTTCTGCGTTCAGAGGACGCGAGGCTAGCATCATGTGAAAGTTAGCATATGCATTGAAGATCTTTCCATCTGTTGTTAAGGTAGCAGTAATATTGCTTAAGCAACTCTGTTTAACTTAGGATTCTCCTGTGCTGACCATGCATCATTGCTTTATTTGAGGCACCGTTAATAGTCCGTTTGAGGGGGGTGGTGGTGGTTATTTTTTGTTTGATTTTTAGAAAATGCTGATTGCTTGTCCTCTGGAAAATAAGTTCGTTTTAAGCTGGGGATTCAAAGTCATTATTTTATTCTTGAGGGTAGAACCACGTCCAGTTTATTCATGCCTGGAAATCTGATCTTGTCTGAACAAAAGAAATAGTTGCTCCTAGTACTCTGTGGTTATGTCTTACGGCTTATGAAGCACTGCTTGACCACTTGTGGATCCTGACAAGTTGTTACCTGCTGTGTATGCGCAAGCCTTTAAGAGACTGCCTAGCGAACCTAAAGTTAACATTTCTGCTGGAGCAGTTTCCCTGATCTAGCTCATATGCACCCATAGCACACTGTGCGGGTGTACAGGGCTTGGTTTGGAGTGAGTGCTGGCGTGAGGCAGCGTAGGACTGTGCAGTTGAGTAACTGGTGAAAAGTTGCTCTTGGAATTTACTCTGAACTGGTAATATGAGTCCTATTTTATGTCCTAATAAGCACAAACCTAGATATTAAAAGCAGACTTAATTATTATATCAATAGTTCTAGTACATTCAATTTTATTTCATAAAGTGAGTCACGTACGCATTTAAGCGTTTGAATGTGTTCTCTCTTTACATCTGGAAAAGACATCACAATCCCATGTTATTTCTTTCCTTCACTCAGATTACGGCTTGAGCGGACACAGCATTATGTAGAAGCCTTTGTTGAGCGCTCTAATGGGGATGTTGTGGTGTCTGCCTCTACCCGAGAGTGGGCCATCAAGAGACACCTATACAGTCCCAAGGGAGTAGCAGCATGCAGAAACCTTGGCCGCGTAATGGCACAGCGCTGTTTGGAAGCAGGAATCAACTTTGTGAACTTTAAAGCTGTTATCCCCTGGGAATATCGATGTGACTCGGCAAGTACCCATCTCCTTACACTTACTTGGCTCTTTATTCCTTTTTAGGCATTATTTTTACTCTCTCTTCACCATTAATTTTCTTATGTGGCTTGACAATCCCTTCTTGCAACGCTCAAAAGGGTAGCTTTGACAAGCTGCAGTTCCTGGCATTGTGCTTCAGAGAGGCTGTTACCCTCTGCCCCTCCACATAACCTGTCCCTGCTGATATTTTGGTGCTGATGGCTTTTCTCTGTATTTATTTGTCTCTCTATCTTTTAAACAAGATTCAGGAATTCGAGAAAGCTATCAAGGAGGGTGGTGTTGTTCTGCGTGAGCCAAGAAGAATCTATGAGTAAAATGGAGACCGCTGTGAAAACTTTACAAGGAACAACGATCACTTCTTTAGGTGTGTGTACCGGCGCAGTGAAGGTCCAAAGCTGGAAAAGTTGGAACGTGGCACCTTATAATAAAATATTTTTAAATGGACAGAAGCGTGTCATATTCTTCACTCTAAAATTATCCACACCTTTAAGGCTAGAATAAACTGTTAATGATAGTTCAGCCTGACAGGTTAACAGAATTTACTTCAGAATTCAGCAATTTAAAATTATATTTTATTTCTAATATTTGATTAATGTTTGCTCTAACCTGAACTCTGGAAATGCTTAGATATTTGATCCCTGTATGCTGCCAGTCTAATTTATTGCAGTTGTAAACATTCACATAATGACTGCATTTTGCTAAAGTTATGCCCTAAACTTAGTAAAAAGATTAAAGTCCCTGAACTCATCTTTGCGTCCTTTCTTACAACCCTTAGATTCTAACTACTTAAACCTCACAGGTCTCGGAGGGAAGTTGCACACATGCCAGCTGTAGGGAGTAAGAAACCTCTTTCCTTCTTTGTCTGCCTGCCAGTTGGCCACAGACTGATGCCATCAGCTTTTCTGCCTGACGGATGGGCAGAGCTCCCATGTGTGTCCAGGCTGTGTAATCCCTCGCAGACCCCCCTAACAAGAAGCACCTGGGCTCGGAGAGGCCAGCCCGGTCGGCGTGACCCCCGTACGGTGACCTGGGGGTGTTCCTGCTGCCAAGCGTTTGCCAGCTCCAGGAGAGGCGGAATGAAGGCCAGGGTTGGCGTGCCAGGGTTCAGCGGTGTGTGGTGTGAGACCAGCCCGCTTCTGGCCTTTGTACGTTTAACCGCCATCCTTCTTAAAAAAAACATTCCAGTATTTTACTGAATTTTTACCTAGTCGTTGGTGCTGTTTCATATTATTTAATTATTTAACGTGACAGCCTTTGTGTGATGGTTATTTGCGGGAGATACAGGTGTGGAACGG